AAAATCTGCACTGGGGAAAGAGAGTGTCCTCACTGTTGACATCAAGTTCCATCCAAAGATCAGTATGTTGCCTCGTTAAGCCTTCCAAATACACACAGATGCAAAGATTTTTTTTCTACCTTTGGGATTATATTTACTCCCATTCTACAAATGTTCATGTGCTTCTGATTTAAGACAAGGGTACAGAAATATGTTAAAGTAACAGCTTGAATTCTGATCTGCCTGAAAACAGGGAGAAGAAAACATAACTTATGACTGTGATTTCTCTATTTGTGACTTCCTCAGAAATGCTGAATCACGCAGGAAAAGAAGAGTCAAGATAATTCCGATCATACGTAACCACAACCAGAAGTTGCCTGTGTCGCTGCCTTTTCCCATTACTCTTTGAGGCCCACACTATATCCAACACTTCCTTTCTAACTCTCCCGAGGGGCCCTACTGAGCCATACACAGTGGGCGCTGGCATGCTGCTGACCAGCCACTTCTCTTCTAGGTGTCATACAAGACATCAGCAGGGCAGACTGCCTGCCTTCGATCAGGGCGATTCTAAAATTCACTAACACTCAATGAAGCGGCATGTGCAGTCTAAGCTCTGAGAGCACTGACTCTGGAGTCAGCACATCGGAGCTTCAGTCCTGGGTGACCTCATCTCTCAGGGCCTCATCTTCCCAATATATAAAATAAAAGGGTTAGACAATCTAAGGGACCTTCCTACCTGCCCTGAATTCTATGACCCTCCATTTTTGCTAAATCTCAACCTTCCTAGAATGCAACTGTTATGCTCTGTTCTGAAAAATGCACTGAACCTGTCTCTAGTTACCTAGGTATTACTAAAATCCCTCATCTAAGAAACCAGCCAATAGCTTGTAATCATTTCTATTGTGTGCTATTTAATTTGTGTTGATAAATTCAGACCATGGGATACCCGGTATGCCAATTCTCTGATATTCCTCATTTGAATTCCTGATCATGCTTTCTTTTGAAATCAATCATAGCTCTTACGTGCCAATACAAACAGAGTGTAAAAAAAGATCCTGTGGAATCTAGTTTGCTGCCAAACCAAAAAGGTAATCTAAAAGAAATATCTGGAATAGACATCACCATTTTTAAAGGTATGGGCAAATGTTCTAATCAATGGAAACCATATTCCAACTGATCTGTGATTTCATCAGCCTGCCCATGCAAACTGCAACCCATGTAGGCAACTTTCTCCCACCGTAAAACTCTTGTTCACATCTCTCCACAAATCCTCCATTAAGGATGCAGCCCACATAACAGAGGCCTTGCTCTGAACATTTTAACATAGCAGCATCAAGGCTATGTGTCGTCCCCTCATCTTCACTACATGGCTGGCCAACTTCGTTTCTCCTCTTCTATATCCTTTAGGGTGACATCCATGCCATTTCTGGAAACCAATCAGCACTATGCTGATTCTTCACTCTGGCTCACTCATCCTTCAACCACATGTAAGTTACTGCTAAGGGTACTAAAACTAGACATAAGCCCCCTTTCATTAGGTCCCCAAACAAAAACGCCATTGGAAATACACATCTAAGTTGTCAGGATCTGAACTCACTCTCCCTCTCTCCACAGCAATTCTTCCAAATCTTTTTATCCCTCCTCAAACTTTCCATGGTTCCCCTTGCTCCCTTCTTTCAGCTGAGAACCTTGCCTCATATTGTACAAAAAAAATTGAGGCCATTCACTGTGAGCTCCTTCTTCTCCACTCTTCCTCATCTTCTATCACTCAGATACCTTCTAACACTCTCTCCTTCACCCTTGCCTCACATGATAAACTGGCCTTATATCCTTACCAAGGCTAACCCTCCTACTTGTTCAAGCCATCCCACTCCATTCCATCTCCTCCAATGATGGCCCCCTCTGTCATCTCCACTCTTTTGCTTATTTTCAATCTCTCATTGTCTACCAGTGGATTCCCTACTGCCTACAAAAGCGCCCATTTCTTCCCTATCCTGAAAAAAAAAAACTTCACTTGACCTTTCCATCCCTACTAAACATCATCCTATTTCTCTTTTGCCCATAGTAGCTAACCTCCTCAAAAAGGCCATCTACAATAGGCGCCTCCATTTTCTCTCCTCTCATTCCATTCCAACTTCCAATCTTATCATTCTACCAAAAATGCTCCCTCCAAAGTGATAAATGATTTCTTAGTTGCCAAATCCAACGGCCTTTTCTCAGTTCTCATTCTCTTTGACCTCTCTGCAGCCTCTGACACTGTTGATCACTCTCTCCATCTTGAACTTCTCTTCTCTCTAGGTTTTTGGGATACCACTCTCTTGGTTCTCCTCCTACCTAGCTGACTGCTCCTTCTCTCTCCTTTTCTGGGTCTTCTTCTGGATCACGCCCTCTAACCATAGGTGTCCCTCAAGATTCTGCCCTTGGCCTTCTTCTTTTCTCCCATGCTACTTTACTTGGTGATCTCATCAGTTTCCATGGGATTTAATTATCTACTTATCTTTATTAATATTTAACTATCTATGCAGATGATTCTCAAATCTACCTTTCCTGCCCCAATCCTTCTGCTGACCTTCAATCTTGCATCTCCAACTGCCTTTCAGACATCTTGAACTGGATGTCCAGTAGACATCTTAAACTCAATAAGTCCAAAACAGAACTCATCATTTTTCTCCCTAACTGCACCTTCCCACCCACCCTCAACCCCTACCTTCTCTATTACTGTAGAGGGCAATGCCATCTTCCTACTCCCTCAGGCTCACAACCTAGGAGTCATCCTGGACTCATTATCTCTTACTCCCCATATCCAAGCTGTTGCCAAGGCCTTTCAATTTCACCTGTGCAGCACCTCTCAAACACACCCCCTTCTCTCCTCTGATGTTGCCCCCACCCTGGTACAGGCCCTCATCACCTCCTGCCTGGATTATTGCAATAGCTGCAGGTGGGTCTGCCTGTCTCAAGTCTCTCCCTACTCCAGTCTTTCCTCCATTCAGCCACTAAGGTGATTTTCTTAAAGCTCAGGACCAATCATGTCACACCCTGTACTCAGTAAACTGCAGTGCCTCCCTATCACCTCCAGGATCGAAAAGAAAATGCTCTCGCATTCAAAGCACACTCTTGAATCCAGTGACACTGGCCTCCTGGCTGTTCCATGAACAAGACTCTCAGTCTCTCGGTTCTGGCCATTTTCTCTGGCTGTGCCTGTCCCTGGAACACTCTCCCTCCTCCACTCTGACTACTGACCTCCTCAGCTTCCCTGAAGTCCCAGCAAAAGTCCCACTTTCTACAGGAAGCCTTCCCCAACATCTCTTCATTCCAGTGCCTTCCCTCTCCTGATTATCGCCTATTTGCCCTGCATATGGCTTGTTTTGTATATATTTGTTTGCACATTGTCTTCCATTAGATTGTAAGCTCTCTGGGGGCAAAAGACCATCTTCTGCCTCTTTTTTGTATTAGCACGGCCTCTAGCATATATAAGGTGTTTAATAAATGTTTACTGATTGATTGATTGACTGTAATCTCTACTTTAGGAGAAGTATTCACATTTGATAAAACTTTAATTTGTTGTTATTATTCTCTAAAATGTTTTTTTTAATAAAATTCACATGCCAAAGAAACATATCTTCACAAGTCCAAACTGAGTCCTCCTCCATCACCACCACCAGCACCATCACCCTTCCCTGTTCTCTGACTAGTCATGAAACAGTTAAATTTTGAACATACACCATATGCCCTGCTGGGTATCTTCCTGAACCATCTGAAGGGGGGGGGAAACGGTCACAGCCAGTTACCCACATTTGAAGAGTGTTCATTAGAACATCTGTAAGCACACACATACTCTCTCACTGTCAGCTTTCTGCTGCCACGGCACCAGCATGCAGGCACAGAATCTTCCCAAAGTGCTGACATTTTAATCCTGGCTTAGACACAAAGATTTCAGGGAGGGGGAAGCAGGCCCTCGGGTGCTCAGGTAGGTCCAATCCATTTATTTCTACCAAATCTAAAGCTGGGGGCCACTTCATAAACTTTGGGGGAAATTATAATGCCACACTTCAGAAGCTTATTCATTTCAAGTGGACTGGGTGTCCAGATGGGGAAGGGATAATGAAGAATGGGGAAGCTGGGGGCTTTTCTGGCTCAGCACACTGTGGGAATTTAATCCCTGTGCCTTTGGAGAGCTGTGTATTAATCTTAGTGCACAAATGCTTCCCTGGCAGAACTGTCAGAAAGAAAAACTAATCCCAGCTTTACTGCTAGCAAAAATCAAATAATGTATGCATCAAACCTGATTAACCTTGCAAGATGGTGTTAATTCATACACTAAATGCCAGCAGTTACATAAAGTTATCGGCTATTAAGGGGTGATCAGAAAACATGGGCAATACTGACCGATCAAATCTGATCTTAATCCAGACTCCAGTACTTTCTTCAAGAAGGAAAAAACCAGGGAGGAGGAGGAAGGAAGATTGATATGAGAAACTACAAACCCAGACCTCATATTGTAGACTTGGTTTGAATATAATCTCTGCTCTTGGCTTCAAAATGAATAAATGAAATTCTCCACTGAGAAATGTTAGCATGGGGTTAGAAAAACCATAGAAGTGTAATGGTATGAGATTTCTGTCTTTTAGAAAAGCTCTTCAAGGTGTGCTTACTTTGAAATTTCACTCGGTTAAAGAATAGTGCCTTGTTTAAAATTTGGCCCATTTTAACTTATTCTTTTTTAAAGAAAGATCATTGTTACATTATTTTTATTTCCAGTATTTTTTTTTAAAACTAAGGCATGGCAACCATATGAAAACTGTGGACAATGTAAAACTGCCTAGTTCAAGGAAAATATATTTGACCCTGTAAAGTGACACATAACTAACCAAAAAAATAGGGCCAAATAATGGGTTGTGCTGATGAAACATATTTGATCATTTACATATGTGTATTACTTACCTGATTTAAATAGGAAGTTTTTTTTAAACTGAATAGAGAAATATTTGATGAGTGCTGCTAAACACGGAAGGCAAACTTACCTTACTTATTTGTCATCTCAGCCACTGTCCTGAGGCCCCTGCAATGACAATGAGGTGAGTTACCAACAGCGAATCAAAGGGATGGCAGGTCAAAAATGTAATAAGATATAACATGGAGCACTGATTCTAGGTAGAAGCACCAACCACTACTGAAGGAATTCCTGATTCTCCAATCCCTGGCAGCCTAGTGGGATGAAAGACTGAGGGAAAAGGACATAAGAGAAAGGCACTAAATTGTGTTATTTGAATTGACCTCAGGACCTCCAATTTAATTCAAGCACTTTTAAGCACTTTCCTATTTATTTGTAAGGCCCATGTCAGGCACTAAGGATACAAAGTGAAAAGCAACATGCGATCTGCTTACAATCCAAAGGGGAGGATACATGGTGCCCCATTACGTGTGATGCAAAGAGAAATGTGACAAGGACAAGGAAGAGAGGGAAACAAAATGCTCGAGGAAAACTGAAGGAGACATGATCGCTTTTAGGGAAGACTTCAGGGAGGCTGTGACCCCTGAGTTTGGCTACAGAAGAGAAGAATTTCCACAAGCAGAGAAGAAGAAATAGGTTCTAGGCAGGCAGCACAAGGTCGCTCACACAAATACACAGATGTAAATGGAACAGCCAGAAGGCCAGTTATACTGAGGCATAGAGTATGTGATGGAGAGTAGTGTCAAATAAGGTAGGTGAAGCTAGACCATAAATAGCCTTATTAATGGCTAATAATACTAGAATTTCCAAGGTGCTTTAGGTTTGCAAAGTGCTATACATGTGATCACATTAGATCACCAACAACACCAAAAAGAGAGGTGGCTGCTATTATTATCCCCATTTTACAGATTAGGAAACTGAGGCACAAAGAAGTCAAGTGACTTGCCTAGAATCCCACAGCTAGTAAGTGACAGCGCCAAGATTCAAACCCAGGTCTTTTTAACTTCAAGTCTCACATTCTGTCCACTGCAGCACCTAGCTGCCTCCCTTTAAATGCCAAAGGAAGGAATTCGACCTTTATCGTGGGGGCAAAGGGAAGCCACTGACGGTGACTCATTCTATCCCTAACCAGTCCCGTTTAGCCCGATAGGTTAAAAATCCGAACAGAAGAAGCAGTCGTCCTAGTTCCCAAAGCTTAGCAATCACCTGCCAGCATTAAGATCATCCTCCTCCAAGCGTGACAAGTTATTATACACTAACAGCACCACTTGGGACAGGTTCAGATGTAGAGATTTAGTAGCGTATTAAAAAAGAGCCCAATAAATCCAAGATGTATTTCCCTGCTCCACTCTGACACTACTGTTTCTGTTTGTTTCCTGAACCTCTTGGCCTTAGTTTTGCTACTATTTAGACAGGGATGGTATATTGCATTCATGGACCCAACATCCCTCTAAAGTTCATGTTCTAAATAAGGTCTAATTATACTTACTTTGCATGGTAAAGGGTATTTAAGAAATGCACTTATCACATTCCACCTTGAACCAGACTTGTCTGAGTATTTCAAACAAAAGATTTTATTTATTAGATAGATATGTATATATGTGTACATATAATAGACATTTACACATGGGTAGGTATGTAATACATATGTGTGCATATCTATATGTATGTGTATAAATGTATATATATAGCACTTTGCAAACTTTACAATGCCATAGGAATGTTGGTATTACATGAATCTCCTTCACTCTATTACATTATAAGTACCTTTAGGAAAGAGACTGTGCTACTTTTCATAGTTGAAATAAGAAATAATTCCTAAAATCTCAGCCAGTTTCAGTACCTCCTTGCCACATCGGCTTACAGAAAGCAGCAGCCTCCCTACCATTGCTCTACCCTGATGCATCTCTTATAGGACCACTTCTCCGTCTCTTTCGTTGGGTCATCGCCCATCTCCCATACTCGATCATGGATGGCCCCAAGACATCTATGTTCTGGGCCTTCTTTTCTTCTCTCTATACACTCTCTCCTTGCTGATCTTACTTTTACCATGGTGAAACACAAAAGACTCCCCTTATCTATGTATCTGGCCATTATCCCACTCCTAAACCCCAATCCCATATCACCATCTCCACTCACATGTTCCCCGACCATGTCAACCTTAATGCTCAAAATGGAAGCCATTATCTCCCCCCTCCCAAAAGTCATCTCTTTCAAGCTTCCGTATTTCTTCGGGGGGAGGCACCACCATTCTCTCAGTGAACTGGGGTTTCATAACCTTATTCTGAGTTACTTCCTGCCCTCATTCCTTATACCCAATCCACTGGAGGTCTTGTCAATTCTGCCTCCACAACCTCTCTCCTAGATCCCCACCTCTCTACCTCCCAGTTACCACTCTAGTCCAGGCTTTCATCACCTCTCCCCTGGACTTTCTATCAGAGCTTCCTACTTGGTTCCCCTGCCAACAATCTCTTCCCTCTGTGATCCACTGTCCACACAGCTGGCCAAATCTTCCAAAGGCCCAGGTCCAACCTTATCATGACCCAACTCAAAAAGCTTCAGTGGCTCTCCATTACCAATGAATAAATTATAAAAATACAAATTTCTCCAGCTGACATTTAAAGCCCTACATAATCTGACTCCAACCTATCTTTCAGGCCTTATTTCAGAAGACTCCTCTACACAGACCTGACAATCTGACCCAGACCCTAGTCATGTGCCAAACTTGACATTCCATTTCCCAACTCTAGGTATTGACGTAAGCCATCTTCCACACCTGACTCCTGCCCCCTCTCATTTCAGCCCCTTGTAAAAAAATGGTTTCCTACAAGGATCAGGGTCAGGGTCCCCTCTTGTGGAGCCTTCCCAAATGAAGATGCCCTCCCCTACTTCAAATTAACTTGTATTATACTTCTCTGTATACTTGCCATATACACCTAGTAGAATGTAAACCCTTCAGGGCAGGGCCTGGCTTGCTTTTGTCATCAATGCTGAACAAGTGGCTACTATGAACTAGACTTGCACTCTCATATGTGAAAGCAGATTTGATTAAATACCAACTTGTTCTCAAAAAAGACATAAAGACCTTCCCATCTCAGAAAGCAGGACAGTGAGAATTAGAGGTAGCAACTAATAGACCCCACTTCCACCATTTTCCTAGCTGTTCTTTGGAGAAAGGAGACAAAAAAAGAGAGGGAGACTGGCTTGCCTAACAATAATTCACATTTACCCTGCTTCTGCGTGAATATGCAGTGAAAGTACTATGTCCTTTCTTTGAAAGATAAAGAAATTAAAGCTCAGGGAGGTTCACGGGAAAGAAGTGTGGTGCAGAATACTAAACTTCAGGTCAAAATCCTCAAAAGGCCTGGATTTGAGTTTGGCTTTGTCCTTTATTTGGTATCTAACTTTGCCTCAGCTTCTTCTGGCGTAAAATGAGAGGATCAGATTAGATCAGTAGTTCTTGGCCAGGAAAATGTGAAGTTGTTAATATTTTGATAATTATGTGTCAACAAAATTGGTTTCCCTTACAATCCTATGTGATTTATTTCATGGATTTGAAAACATTCAGGGAAAGTCCAAAGGCGGCTCAAAGGCACAAAAAGAAAAAAAAGGTTAAAACCCCTGGGATTAGATAATGTCACTAACTCTTCAAGCTCAGACATACTGAGATTCTGTGGTTTGGCCAAGCCCACATGACGATAAAACAATGTCAGGGCTCAGATCTGAACTAAATTCTAACACAGCAGACAGAAAATGAAAGGGCATAGGGAGGGATAGAGAAAGATGAACCCAAAGAAACAAAAAATACGCTGATATGAAATAGAAAAATTAAGAGTAGGGCTCCTTTCATTCAACTTTCTTCCATTGTGTATGTAGCAGCCATCAAAATCCCAGCTCGTTTTCCACCTGAGGCTCAGAAGGAGGCTTTTTCCTTAATAATGACTGAGTGACATCTGAAGCACATGTGGGGCTTTAAGGTTGGCAAAGCACCTTCCATGCAGTCACATTTAAACCTCGAAAGCGCTCTAGGTATTATAAAGCCTATTTAGCAGACGAGCAGGATAGCCTACAGAGTTTTGACTTGGAAGCCAGGAAGTCCTGAGTTCGAGTGCTGCCTGTGACACACACTGACTCTGTGACCCTGGGCAGGCTGACCTCTCAGGGCTGGAGGAGAAAGTGCTGACCTCCCGTGACACAGGGAGTCCCCCACACCCATGAAATGCCAGGTCTTGTGCCCCTCCCTACTCCACTTAACGCAGGAATAAAAGAGGCTCCGGGAGAGTCAATGGTTTGCCTAGGGTCACCCAGCTCGCAAACAGCAAAAGCAGGATTTGAATCCAGGTCAGTCCTACTTCAGATCTGGTAGTCTCCACCCTGCCACCCCTGATTAGAAAAGCTGCCTCCTTCCGAGGCCCTGCGGCGCTGGTTCTGGAGCCCAAGGGCTCGAGTTCGAATCCTCAGCCACGTACTACTGGCGCAGCCTTTGAAAAGTCTCCTCCCCTCTCTCGGGCCCCAGTTGTCGTGGGCGGTGGGAAATCAATGAAGGCTGGATCGATGAGCCCGTATCTCACTACTGCTTTGTGCCTCAGTTTCCTCGTCTGTAAAATGGGATGAGGGAGGTGGCTCAATGATCCCCAGGGTCCCTGCCCGCTCTAGGTCTGTGAGCCCGCGTCCCTCCCCTGCCTCAGTGTCCCCTCGGTGAGATGCAGGTGGCTGGGCCCCACGGCCTCCCAAGCCTGCTCTTCTCGTCCCTCACCCCGCCGCACCCCCAGCTCGGGCTCCTTCACGTAGCCAGGGAGGGGCAGGAGGAGGCGGGCGCAGGCGGGGCGAGGGCTCGCGTCGCCATGACAACGGCGGCTCCCCGCTGCTCCGGGCCGGGGGCCGCCCCTTCCGTTGGGCCTCGGCGGCAGAGTCGGCCTGCACGCTCACCTCGTAGCTTTGTGCTCCTCGATCTTCAGCTGAGAGGAGTCCCGGCTTCCTTCCCTCTGGGAGCAGGGGGAGGCCTGGGCCGCCCGTCAGCCCCGCATCTCTTAACGAAAAAGCTTCTAGGAAATGTAGTTTCCGTCTGGCGCGCAGGACTGAGGACTGTGTAGGCAACTGGGACTACACTTCCCAGAATTCCCGGGGAAACAAGTCCTCTCCTTAAACCTGTTCCCCAGGGCTGGAAGAGCTCTGGTAGAAGGTTCCGGAACTCCTGACCTAACGGGGCCATTCGTTTTTTGTCTGTTGTTGTTAGCTGTTTTGTTTTTGTTGTTCATTGGTGGCTGACTCTTTGTGACCCCATTTTGGATTTTCTTGGCAACGATGCTGGAGTGGTTTGCCATTTCCTTCTGCAGCTTATTTTACAAATGAGGAAACTGAGGCAAACAGGGTTGAGTGGCTTACCCAGGGTCACAAAGCTAGTTAAGTATCTAAGTCCGAATGTGAACTCGGGGTTTCTCGATCACAGGCCTGTTTCCTAGCTAAACACTCAGGTGACACCGTTGTTGAGCAGGACAACGCAGGAGGGCTCCTGACGCTAACAGATGTTTTAGCGCAGGTTCCCTTTTGGTCGGGTCAGACAGGAAGACAGCTTTGGAGGGTTAAATAAACTTACTTTATTGCAGTCTAGTCTTCTCAAAGGCAGTGTACTGCTGATGGGAGCTCCAGCTCCTACAGCATTCCCTAATCAAACTTGCGGGGGGGGGGGTCGCTGGGCCTCCTACTGGTCCCCTAAGCCGCAGTGTTGCCTCCAGCCTTGATGGGGGCCGATCAAGGCAGGTACATGCATTCCTCTATGCACGATCCAGATCCCACTGGCCAGTGCACGCTTGCTTTATGGGACAAAAGACAAAGAAGGCATCTCACCAACACTAACCTCACAGGTTAACTGTAGCAATGTGGTCACTCAGCACAAGCATAGCAAATATCACACATCATCCCCGTATCTCACTGTGCAAGCGTGGTGATGTTTTCAACCATAATTCATGGGAAATATTATTTAGGGTCCTGGAACTACTATCTAAAAAGGAAAAACAAAATCCTCCTTACACACACTAACATCCACCTTGTTTACAATGCCCTGAACTCTATCCACTGCCGGATCGGGCTTCCCCAAGGTCATTCTTACCAATAGGATGATTTATTTGAGGGACTTGGATATCATTTGAAGAGTGCTGAATTTGGGATCAGAGGACCTGGGTTCAAATCCTGCCCTGCCACTTAGCTATGCATTTAAAGTTTGGTGACTTACCCACCCTCTCCTGGCCTTCTTTAACTCCATCATCTTAGGTTCTTGGCTAGTCTTCAGGGTCCAAGGTCAAATCCTGCTTCTGCCTCTCACCAGCTGTTTGAGCTTGGGCAAGTCACCTAACCTGTGTTTGCTTCAGTCTCCCCATTTGAAAAGTAAAGGGTTGCACTAGATCACAGCCTGCAGAGCTGGGAGATCATTCCAGCTCTAAACAGAAGGAAGAAGAGCAATAAAAACTTACATATATCTTTAAAGCTTGCAAAGTGCTTTCCGTGCATTTTTGTCATTTGATGCTCTCAACTACCCTAGGAGGCACGTACTGTTGTAATTGCCTTTTGACAGATGAGGAAACCAAGGCTGAAAGACCAGTGTATTAAATCCTTACCACATGCCAGGCACCAAGCTAAGCACCAGCAATACAAATACAAGCAAAAGGACAGTCCCTGCCCTCAGGGGGCTTACATTCTAGTGGTTGAAGACAGCACTGCAAAGGGGAGGGGGGAGAGAAAATTACCTGGGCTGGGACATCGTGGCCAAGTCCAGAGAATCAGAGATTGCCTGGATGGGGCCCTTCCCCAAGATGGAGATTCAGGGAAAAGCTCTCCAAGGGGAGAAAAGGCTAATGGAGTGAAAGCTATAGGCAGCTGACTTTCCTGGTGTCTGAAACTGGGAAATCAATGACTGGCCCAAGGTCTCATGGCAAGTAAGTTTCTGAGAATGAACTTGAACTTGAATTCCTGTCTCCACCTGGCTGCCGGTCTAGATGACTGAGCTCAAGTGTGAAAAAGAAAACACTGCGGGTGGCTCTCCCAATGGGGTGATCACTTATGAGCAATGCAATCTTGCCAGGGCCACCATGCAGCAGCAGGCACCTTGGACTGAGACTCAAGAGGCCTGGGTTAGAATCCTGGCTCACACTAGTAGGGAGATCCTGGTCAAGTCTTTTCACTTTTCTGAGGCTCTGTCCCAAACAACCTCGTATTTAATTACTTTGTGTGTATATATGTATATGTGTGTGTATATATGTATCTATACATATATATATACACCTGTGTATACATATACCTACATACACACATATACAAGTTCAAATACCTATATATCCAAAAAATATAAATTCCTATATATACACATATAAGTATATGTATATATACATATGTTAATATTTATTTACTTTAAGGGCAGCTAGGTGGCACAGCACATAGAACACTGGGTTTGAAATCAGGAAGACTCATCTTCCTGAGTTCAAATCTAACCTCAGACACTAGCTGTGTCACCCTAGACAAGTCACTTAACCTCTACTAGCCTTAGTTCCTCATCTGTAAAATGGGAACATACTGGAGAAGAAAATGGCAAACCACTCCAGTATCTTTGCCAAGAAAGGGTCCTATAGAGTCAGACATGATTGAACAATGATCAACAAAAGTGGTATGAAAATGTGAGTTCTTACTATTGTTTTCTATGATTTCTTCAGATAAAGGATCTGCCCATCATCGGTCAATATGTCCCTACGGATGATAACTGTGAATAATAATGCCTCCTTAATCCAACCGGGTTTCTCTTTGATGAATTTTGATGGACAAGTTTTTTTCTTTGGGCAAAAAGGCTGGCCCAAGAGGTCTTGCCCCACTGGTGTTTTTCTCTTTGATGTCAAGAGGAACCAGCTCAAACTGAAACCTGCTCTTTTCTCTAAGGACTCCTGCTACCTCCCACCTCTTCGATACCCAGCCACATGCACCTTCCAAAGTAGCCTCGAGTCGGAGAAAGTTCAGTATATCATCCATGGAGGAAAAACCCCAAACAATGAACTGTCGAATAAGATTTACATCATGAGTGCCATTTGTAAGAACAACAAGAAGGTTACTTTTCGTTGTACAGAGAAGGAGTTGGTTGGAGATGTTCCTGAGGCAAGATATGGCCACACCATCGATGTGGTTTATAGCCAAGGAAAGAGCAGATGTGTTATCTTTGGAGGACGGTCCTATATGCCATCTGCCCAGAGGACCACAGAAAAATGGAATAGTGTCATTGACTGCTCTCCATATGTCTTCTTAATGGATTTTGAATTTGGATGCTGTACCTCCTACACCTTTCCAGAGCTCCAGGATGGGCTCTCCTTTCATGTCTCCATTGCCAGAAATGACACCATTTACATTCTAGGGGGCCATTGTCTCACTCATAATAGCCGACCCCCCAGCCTATACAGACTGAAGGTGGATCTACCACTGGGGAGCCCAGCTGTGAGTTGCACTGTCTTACCAGGAGGAGTCTCAATCTCCAGTGCTATCCTCACTAAAACTAAAAGCAATGAGTTTGTCATTGTGGGGGGCTACCAGCTTGAAAATCAAAAAAGGATGGTCTGCAACATTGTCACCGTAGAGGATAACAAGATTGAGATCCAAGATATGGAGACCCCAGATTGGACCCCTGATATCAAACACAGCAAATTGTGGTTTGGAAGCAGCATGGGAAATGGGACCGTTTTTCTTGGTATACCAGGGGACAATAAACAAACAATGTCAGATGCACACTACTTCTACATCTTGAAGTGCGATGGAGATGACCCAGTAGCAGAAGAACAGGCAACATTCTCCTGCAGTCAAACATCAACAGAAGACCCAGGGGACTCCACTCCCTTCGAAGACTCAGAAGAATTTTGTTTCAGCACAGAAATCAACAGCTTTGATGGGGATGATGATATTGACACCTATAATGAAAACGATGAAGAAGATGAATCAGAAACAGGCTATTGGATCACCTGCTGCCCCACCTGTGATGTTGACATCAACACCTGGGTACCCTTCTATTCCACTGAACTCAATAAACCTGCCATGATCTACTGTTCTCATGGAGATGGCCACTGGGTCCATGCCCAGTGTATGAACTTGGCTGAGCAGTTGCTCATTCGTCTCTCAGAAGGAAGCAGTAAATATTTCTGCAATGAGCATGTAGAGATGGCAAGGGGCCTGCAAACACCGAAAAAGATTCTGCCTTTAAAAAGAACTCCATTGAAACCCCTCCGCAAAAAAGCCCCCGTGAAAATAATAACTCCAGCCAAGAAATCATTTTTTAGAAAGTTATTTGATTAGAATTATAAGAATTTTTAAATTTCAGTTTCATGCATCAATATTTAGATGTAAGCTAAAGAATCACAATTCTAATATGTGGGATTTCTATTTTGTCCACTGAAAAAAACAGAATTCATAAAGTACAATTCCAAATACATTTATTGTAAGTTTAGCAAGTAACACACATAGAAGCTTCCAAATCATAACTTTGGAGTTGGAAGAGACTTTATATCCAACCTCTTTATTTTACACATGAGGAACCTGATACCCAAAAAGGTTATAAGATGTGTCTAAGGTCACAGAGTAAGGAGCAGAACAAAATTTGAACTCAGGTCCCCTGACTCCAAATTCAGTCTCATTTCGATTGAGACTTTCATATCTGAATATTACCCATGAAAACCTTAAACGTAGAAATAACACCAGTAATACTTCCCATTTCTGTAGAATTTTTAATTATTTAAAATATTTTTATGCCTTTTTGGTCAGAGATACAAAACATATGGCCAGCAATACTGAGAGTAGCCCATTCAAATTAAAATGTAGTTGGGAAATATTTAACAAAATAAATAAAAGTGCAATGGAACACAGATAATGTTAATATGTAGTTTTCTCAGTCAACATGGCAGCCTGCAGGGATCCTTATATACCATTTAGTGGCACCATTTCTTTTGGAGTTTGACCCCACCGTCTTAAGTCCTCACAACAGGCCCACGAGACAAGATTAACCCACTTGACAAATGAGACTGAGATATAGAGACTACCTAACAGAGGGGTGTTGTTTATTTTAAACCTAGGGCAAGTTTCACAAACATTCCCCCAAGTAAGCAGCATAAAACTCACCC